ATAATGATTTAGACAGTGTATTTTATCGGTAAAGTGAAAAAAATAAAAAATTTGATTATTTTTTTTAAATTTCAAAAGCGGCTTTGGTATTTTTTTTCTACTGATTTTTTATGGGAAATTCATTATATGTATACATTTTGTAGACAATCTAATTCCCTACGTAAAAATATATAACATGTTAGGAAAATATTTTTTTTATAAGTTTTTGGGGCGAAATGTAATGACAAACGGAGAACCGAAAAAATTGAAAACCGTAGAGTGTTAGTTTATGTTGTAAAAAGCTATATACATGTATATATATCTATACTATTATAAAGAAGAGGTGGTGTCTGTGTGTGTGTTTGTATGAGCTAATCTCAAAAACTACTGGTCGGATCGGGCTGAAATTTGGCATGATGATAGCTCACATTCCCGATTAACATATAGGCATATTTTTATCCCAAAAAATCCTTCGGGGCTCCGCCCCAGTGGCTCTGGAGTTTCCCATGTTAACCTTATGAGAAATGGAATTAATGAATCTTAACAGCTGTTTCAATTAAACAAGTTGGTTCTGTTCTATGATGTTCAATAGCATTAAAAGTTACAAGGATTACCAACAGGGTTCAGCACTAGCACTATTATTTCTTTTACATTTGTGACAACAGCAAAAGGTGAGTGAGCGTAGCGAACGAACTTCAACCTGGAGGCGAGTGAGCGTAGCGAACGAGCTAACCTGAAGGCAAGTGAGCGTAGCGAACGAGCTAACCTGAAGGAAAGTGAGCGCAGCGAACGAGCTCCAACCTAAAGGTGAGTGAGCGTAGCGAACGAACTTCAAAAAGAACCGAAATTTCTTAAACCATGTCCTCACTCATAACTGCTATAAGCATTTGATACTTATATGCCAACCCCGTACGAAGGACGGGTACTCTGCTAGTAAATGTATATATGTGTATACTAATGATATATGCATGATTGTAAAGCTAATGAAGTAAGGAATCAAAAAAATTCATAAAGTTTATGGTAAAAATAACTTTTTACCTATAAACATATGTATATAAAATAATGTTTTTATATTTTAGCGATTTTGTAAAAAAAATCACAGTATTTAGTATAAAAGGGTGTTGCATTATTTGTCATGTCTTGAAGACATTAATCTGCTGGACAATAGTCAGTACATTACCAGGTTAAAAAGTGTAGTGCATGTGCTGGACCTAAGCTACAGATTTCTGTAAATGTTTAAATGACTGATCCAATTTTTGGCAAGACTTGTTGATGAACAGGTGCTTGCTTCCTGACATTGTTTGATATATGTTTTACTTATTGTTCTCATATTTGAAGTTTGAACAGATTGTAAAATAAATTCTGATAAAAAAAATATTTTAGCGATTTCGTGAGAAAAAAATCACAGTATTTAGTATACAACTTTTGTACAATTTTTTTTTACTTCAAACCAACATAATAATCTTGTAGTGTATTCAATTACCTATAAAAATGTATAACATGTTAGAAATATATATAAAATATATGTTAGAGATAGGCCTAGAGTAAAAAATACTATAGGCAATTTTTTTTAAGTTTTAGTTCTTTCCTAATCTAATTGCCTGAAGTTGAAGAAGCTTACTGATACAAGTTATCAAATATAAAATTTGTAGATACAGTGGAGAATCATATTAAAAAAACACTACGGAAACTGAATTAAGGCCTTATCAAACCTTTTGGTCACTACCTCTGTTATATCCTAGGCCTAGGCCTATGGTGAAAAAATTTGCAACTCCCATTTTAATTACATTTAGCTAATTTGGTTACAATTACAATCAAATTCAGCCTATCACAGTCAGAATCCATAGCTAAACTGCAATACAAATAGGCCTAGCCTACGAAATTTAATTATCATCAAATGAATCTCAAGATTCTTTAAGTTATTTCCTTAGAAAATAACATTAGTTAATATTTGTTTGGTAAACGTCACTTTGATAAGTTAATGGTGTTTTGTAGGAACTAAACAGTGAAAACCCAGAAAGGACACAGTAACCCAATTCTTTAGTTATTTTAAATCAAGAAATTCCTAACATCTGCCTCTCTAATAAGTAAATGAAAATAATGTCAAGTCCAAGTCAAAGTCTAAGTAAGTTCATCATTCGGGTGGGATGGGGTAGTTTACTCAAGGAATCAAGACTCAAGTCAAGTGTCAAGGGTCGAATCGAAGAGTCGCCAGAGTTTAGCTGTAGCAATCGATAGTCCCGCGGCTATACGATAGTTAAGTGACGTCACAATCACATTCCCAGGTATCCCAAAAGTTGGTCACCTTGTTGATGAAGACTGCGGTCTGTCGTCTGTTACCGAGTAAGAAACTCGACGTTCTGAGGTCCGTGAAGTTAGCCCCCCCCCATAAAAGCACTAACAATAAAACTAGTATTACTAGTTAGTGCTTCAACTCCCATCGTTAGTGCTCTTAAGGTTCAGGAGCTATAACCGAAAAACTGTGGGTGGGGCCAACTTCACGGAAGTTAGCCCCCCCCAGTAGTAATATGTGAGCATTAACTTTCAAAACTGTACCAACGGTTAGTGCTGGTTAGTGCTTCAACTCCAATCGTTAGTGCTCTTACGGTTCAGGAACTATAACAAAAAAACTGTGGGTGGGGCCAACTTCACGGAAGTTAGCCAACCTCAGTAAAAATATATACAGTACTAACTTTCAAAATGGTATCAATGTCTAGTGCTGGTTACTGAATGTCCAGGAGTTGTAATGAATCTCTAGTTCCGAGGCCATATTCACGAGGCGATTCAAAGACAGCTCCACCAAATTGTATCAACAAGGCTCCCCACATTTTTTAATGCTTGAAATGAAAGGTAAATTCCTTAGAGAAGTTATCCTAGTACATGTAACCTATAAAAACCCTTTTTACAATTGAGCATAGTTCAATTAATTGTAGTTTAACAATTTTAATCTTCATATTTTATTGACTTATTATCAATCTATTTATAAAAAATATAATATAGTCCATATTTATTTAAAAATAGCTTGTTCAAAGCTAACTAAAATATTTTGTAAACCTTAATAAAACTAGAGATTGTATTAATGTTTTTAATTAAACATTTGTTATATAATAATTGGTTTATTATATATAAAATATATTATTAAAATATACATAAAATAATATATAATAATTGGTTGATAAAATAGAATAATACACTTATTAGTTTTATTCATGTTAACAAAATGAAAAACTGTACTGTTTTTAAATAGCTAGTACTGTATATTATTAAGTCGATGAAAGATGAAGATTAATACTATATTGTCTCATTTAAACTCGTGAAATAGTTATTTGTGTAACTAGTGGTGAAAGTGGCACTTTGCTGCACACGAGAGCAATGTTTACGCACTCGCCTGCGGCTCGTGCGGAATGATCTCGAGTGCAGCAAAGGCCTTTTTCACTCGTGTTACACATTATATTTTTCCTACAGTCACTATAAAGCATATAAATAATTAGTCTTTCAAACACTATACATTACGTTTTTAGGTTCAGCTGGCAACACAAATGGTGCCCTAGACAAAGTAGTACCCGCGGTCTGTATCACTCCGCTATTTTTCCTCGGCAAGAAATGTGCTCCGCGTTTTGAGAATATAGTTCCGTATGTTTTTGTAATTTGAAGTGGTTTCCACACCTAAAAAATGCTTTAAAGGTATTTTATTGTTTATTAAGATCGTAGGAATGTTTTAAAAACGTTTCAAAGTAAAGTCCAGAAAGTTCAGAAATACCGAAACTATAAACACGAAATGACAGGTTAAATCGTAGTTATAATAGTCAATCAGCTGCTCATAGTATTAATATCTTTAAGTGTTGCCAACCTATTTCCAAGCGTACACGGATTACGTGCATTAATAGAACCACGCTGTTTTGTGTTGTTTCGTTGGAATCCTGATGTGCGGCAAAGTATAAACCGTACGACAAAGTATAAACCGTACGGCAAAGTATAAATATGCAGCAATTAGCAGCTTTCTGTACTATAAACAGTACAAGGAAGCCAACTTTGTCGGGTGACTGTAGGAAAACTGTTTTTTTTTACAGCTCCTGAACCATAAGAGCACTAACGATGGGAGTAGAAGCACTAACCAGCACTAACGAAGCACTAACCGTTGGTACAGTTTTGAAAGTTAGTGCTCACATATTATTCCGTGAAGTTGGCCCCACCCACAGTTTTTTGGTTATATCTCCCTGAACCGTAAGAACACTAACGATGCGAGTTGAAGCACTAACCAGCACTAACGAAGCACTAACCGTTGGTACAGTTTTGAAAGTTAGTGCTCACATATTACTACTGGGGGGGGGGGCTAACTTCCGTGAAGTTGGCCCCACCCACAGTTTTTGGTTATAGCTCCTGAACCGTAAGAGCACTAACGATGGGAGTCGAAGCACTAACCAGCACTAACGAAGCACTATAACCTTGGTAGAGTTTTGAAAGTTAGTGCTCACATATTATTCCGTGAAGTTGGCCCCACCCACAGTTTTTTGGTTGTAGCTTCTGAACCGTAAGAGCACTAACGATGGGAGTTGATGCACTAACCAGCACTAACCGTTGGTACAGTTTTGAAAATTAGTGCTCGCATATTAATACTGGGGGGGGGCTAACTTCCGTGAAGTTGGCCCCACCCACAGTTTTTTGGTTATAGCTCCTGAACCGTAAGAGCACTGACGATGGGAGTTGAAGCACTAACCAGCACTAACGAAGCACTAACCATTAATCCTAGTTTTATTGTTAGTGCTTTTATGGGGGGGGGCTAACTTCACGGACCTGACGTACTGTACCCACGAGCACCTCAGCTTCCACATGCACAGAAGAGAAGGCCTTGGAACAGTTCCTGGGATAACAGCTATTTGTGTAATAGCTTCACTGTATATCTTTATTGTACCTGGTTAGATAGATGTTTCTTTCAACAGTTGCAAACTGTCCAACTGTGCATTGTGATTTTGTAAAGGTGTTAGTTTATTAGTTGTAGTGTAGTTCTTTCTTTGTTTGTTGTTTCTTTACTGTTTGTTTACTTTTGACTTGAGCTTTGAGCTGCTTGAAAATGTGTTTTATGATTATGAAAATTAAAGGGCTGTGAGTGTAATGAAGCTGATTTGTTTTTAGGTATTGACAATTAAATGTTTTGCGTGCATGAATTATTTATGAAGTTTTAAATGTTTACTTAACCTATATTTTTCTGATTCCTCAAGAAAGAGTGATTGTTAATAGGTTAGGTTGAGTTGTGTTTGTGTGTGAATTTGTTAGATTGCAGTTTTGGTAGTGGTAGGTCTAGGTTTATTTTAAGTTAATTGGACCTTTCAGTTGAGTTTAGGTCTAAGTTTAAGCAAATATCCTCCCACCAAATCAAATCAAATCAAATCTTTTTATTGTCTTTCAGCTCTACAAAAGCAATTGACATTGTCAAATGGCATCTTATCATTAAAGCATTAAACATAGTCATAATAAATAACAGGAAGCTTGATCTTAAATAAACTATTTAAAAACTTATATCTAAAACCTCCAAGGACAAGAACTTATCTACAGAGTAAAAACATTTTAATTTTAACCATGAATCAAGGACTGTTTTGAATTTTTTTATTGGAACCGTTACTGCAGAAGGGGGCAATTTATTAAAAAATTGTATACTAAGATATTTGTAGCTATTGTGTGTAACTTAAGTGTAAGTCTTGTAAGTGGTAAGTTGAGATGATGGCTATTTCTTGTGTAATGTTTATGTATGTCATGTCTATAAATTTTTCTCAGTCTTAAATAATTTAATCTATTTTGTTCACTCAAGTGAGACTTGTCCTTATATATGAGAAGCATTATTCTTATCCTTTGGAGGCGATCAGTGTACCACTTAGAGCTATGTTGAGATGCTTGCTTGATATTGTCTTTATTGTTTAATTTAGTAACAATGGGACAGTTTGAATCAAAAATTAATTTTAAATTGTCAATAAAATAAATCAAAACATGCATTTATATTATTATTAAAGGGATACAATTCATATGACCAGTCAACCATATTTAAATCATTTTGAAATGAATTAATAGCTTTGTCACTTAATATACGAAATTTAACCTCTTTCCTGCTCTTATTGAAAAAACTACTCATCTTTAACCACAATCCATCATGATCAGATAGACCTAAGTTAATACAATCAAAAGTAAAGTCTGTGTTTGTTAAGTTACTAATTATATTGTCTAGACATGCTTCATATCTGGTCGGTTTTGAGTTGTGACAACAACAATTAAATGACTTTAACATATTTAAAAACTCATTTACATTTTTTTTCTTTTCTCTAATGTCAAAATTTATGTCTCCTGTGATAATTATTTTACAGTGTTTGTATTTTGATAGTTCCAATAACATGCATTCAAACTTATCAATAAACATTTCTTCACTAGTAGCTGGAATCCTATATACAGAAATAATTATAGTTCTATACTGTTTTAAGATTATTCCACATGCTTAAAAAACTGTTTCAATACAAATTTTACTTAAATCAATTGTTTCATATTCCAAATCTAAGCTTTTTTTTTTAAATATATGGCAGTGCCTCCTCTAATTGTGTTAACTCTACAGTAAGCAACTGCTAACCTAAAATTAAAGGGAACAGACAAGTCAACATTAAAATCTTTCAACCAGTGCTCATTAACACATAATATGGAGCAGTTTAAAATATCTAAACAATATTGCAGCTCATTTAATTTGTTTTGAATTGATCTTATATTAATGTGTAACAACATGAGATCATTTCTATCACAACTTGGGATGTCATTTATTTTAGGATGGTTATTAAGAATTTTGTTTATCGAGCTATCAGTTGAGGCTTTATATTCTGTAAAAAATTGTTGTTGTGACCAGCTATTCTACCACTTAGTATACTATTTACAAAATCTTCACTTTTTTCATCACCACTAGAGGCCTTATTTGCATTTTCACTACACTGTGTTGCGGAGTCAGAGGTCAAGGAAGTAAGTTGAGTCACCTGGTCTGCTGTAGTGTTGAGTAGATCACCCTTGTCTTGTTGCTGGTTGTCCTGCATCGATATTCTTCCTTCTGTAACAGTCCGTGGTTGAGGTTGTGCCTGCTTCGGGTCCAGAGGGAAAGATGCAGAGGATGTTTTGTTCACAGACTGAGTCTCGGATGATTTGTTGGTTTTATGGTGAGATGATTCCGTTGCAATGGCCTGTGTGAGGTTCCTTACAAACTCAGAATATGGCTTTGTGTTCTTCTGTTTACTTGAAATGTACTTCTTTGAGATGACAATAATAACTGATGCAGCAGTGGAGCTTTGGAATTCAACTATATATTTTGCAAAGTGTTGTGGTAAGACACAAATACTGCTCTAACTTGGCAAAGGTCAGATTTTTTTACAGGAGTGGGAAAATTGTATAACACTCGGTTTACACCAGACCACAAAGTTTGTTTGGGTACTTTCCTGTTAAAGGGAACATTAATTAAACTTATTATCAATGATTTTTCGATATATCGATATTTTTGTTTTACTTCACGATCCGTATTCCTTCTGTTTTAATACCTATCTTAAAACGTATTTAAATTAAAAATTAAGAACTAACCTTGAGTTCTTCGTTAACATAGCCAATGACACCCTTGCACAAAATCCTCAAAACCAAAATCAGCCAGCTGAAATCACAGAGGTACACTGTCAGACACCTTAGATGTCTCTTCAGTTAACAAACGAGCAGGAACTGACTCAAGTGATCAACACCCTAAAAAATAAAACATCTGCTAGAGTAGATGATATATCCACCAGTCTACTAAAAAAATGTAAAGAAGAACTTGCTGGACCGTTAACATACATCATCAACCGTTCTTTCCAAGAAGGAATCTTCCCAAGTGGGCTTAAAATTGCAAAGGTATACCCAAAATTCAAGAAAGGAAACCATCTGGACTCAAAGAACTACCGCCCAATTTCATTAATTTCCACATTCTCCAAAGTATTTGAAAAAATAGTACCTACTAAACAGACTTCTTCAACACCTATCATCCAATGAACTGCTCACACCACATCAAAATAGATCTGTACAGGGAAAATCAACCACATCTGCCATAATAGCGCTAACTGAATATGTAATAGATAATCTAGAAGAAGGAAACATACCAACCACAATTTAACTTGATTTCAGCAAAGCATTTGACTGCTTAGATCATACACAACTGTGTAACAAGTTGAGAAAAATTGGAATTGGTGGGAAAACTGCAGAATGGTTCAAGAGCTATTTAACTGGAAGAAGTCAGATGTTTGAACTCAAATACTGTACACTGAAAAGGGATCTACACAAACAGTAAGATCAAAGTTATTACCTGTAGTAAGGGGTGTTCCACAGGTAGTGATGTGGGCCGGGTAAATACCCAGTGGGTAGGTAAATGTAAATTGGGTATTTACCTGGGTATTTACCCCAGGCCCGGGTAAATACCCAAAAACTGGGCATTTATAATTTGTATTAAAGTTAGAGAAGATTGAGATGTTTTTTTGCAATTATTACCCTGTAAGGATATTAAAATGATAATAAAATGTGTTAAACAAAATTTCATATGGACACTACTAGCATTTTACTTCTCGGTATAATCACCATAAATACCCAGGTCTGAGCATAAAGCATAAATACCCTGGTCTCATGGTTGCACTGGTCCTGACTACTTATAATTTTTTTTTTTTTTATTTCAATGATAGATAGATGAATTTATTTTATTGAAAGTGAAGAAAAATAATTTGTAAAGTAATCGTTATTATTTAGAAAAATAGGAAAATTTAACATAGTAGTGGCCTATGTGTAAACAACTTAAGAAAATAATTAAAATTCAATCTGTAGGATGGCAGGATTTAATAATATTTTCGTTCTAGATCTTTTGTTGGTATCAATGGTAGGCTATAAAAAAAACTAATTTCATAAACTTGTGATACAAATTTTTGGGGACATCAGTTTAACCGGAAAACCCGTTATCCGGACTAGCCTCGGTCCCGAGGAGTCCAGATGAGAGGGAGTCTATTGTACTTTCAGTATTCTGCCATCCTGCCTATGTCAATCAGACTCTGGGTTTGTCTAGCCTTCCAAGCCATTTACACAATACAAATTTTAACTATCATAATTTAATAGCAGTAGAAGTAGGTTTAGGTTCACTATTTCTCTGATAGGTGTTGTCTTGATTTCAAAACAAAAAAGTGCTAAATCATTCAATAAAAGGTACTAGCAAAGCTTCAAGTTACTGTAAAAGGTGTTATAGACTATCCTAATTTATCATGTAATGATAACAATAACATATTTAGGGGTAATATGAATTAATTTCAATCGATTTCATAAATACCCAAAATACCCGGGTATTTCTGGATTATGGGTATTTACCCGGGTAAATACCCAGGGTATTTACCCCGAGTTTTAAATACCCAGGTATTTTACATCACTATCCACAGGGTTCTGTGCTGGGCCCCATCCTTTTCAAAACATCAAAACATCATTCATTGTTTACAAATGATCTCCCTCACTATTTGGAAGACTACAGCAAGACTCTTATGTATGCAGATGATACCGTACTCCTCCTTGGGGGAAAAAATCCTGAAGCCCTTGAAATCAGCTCGTTTGTTTCCATAAACATGGCAATACAATGTTGCCAAAACAACAGCGAATCGTGTTTCTAAGCCAACCCCAACTCTTAAATGCCCCGCAAATCCTGATGAATTCAATGAACATATTCTGGGGGTAATTGACAAAATTGTTGACTCAGTAAACCCTGACAGTGATGTAAATACTGCAACTAAAATACCGCACAAGCCTATTATAAACTCTCTAGATAACTGGGCTTATGTAACGCCTCAAAATGTCATTAAAATAATCAAACAATTCAAGAACACAACTAGTCAGGATATTTATGGCTTAAACATCATTGTACTGAAACATGTTGCGGACATTATTGTGATCCCCTAGCAAAAGTAGCCTACTTAATCTGTGTATGTCCCATGGGGTTTTCCCTGATGTCTTAAAAGTTTCTAAAACAATAGGCCTACCCATTTTTAAAAAGAGCAACCCTGAAGATGTAGGAAGCTATCAACCGATTTCCATAGTGCCTATGTTTGCAAAGATTTATGAGACTATAATGAAAACACAGCTTGTTCAACACTTTGAAACAAATGGTCTGTTTAGTGACTCACAGTATGGCTTTAGGAGCGGTAGAACCACAACTACTGCAGTTCTTAAACTTGTCACTAAGGTAGTCGATGCTTTCGAAGAGGGGAATTCAGTTGCACTCACCCTAGCTGACTTAAGCAAAGCTTTTGATTGTGTCTCCCACATTCAACTGCTAGAAAAGTTACATCTATATGGCGTTGGGGGGCCAGCACTGCTTGCCTTTAAATCCTACCTCCTAAATCGAAAACAGATCATGGCAGTAAAAGGGGCAAATTCACAACCATTGCCGGTTAAACATGGCGTGCCCCAGGGATCTGTGTTGGGCCCTGTGCTATTCTTGGTGATGGTGAACGACCTCGGGCAGTTAGGCAACGTCTTGCTTTTTGCGGACGACACAACTATTTTTGCGGATGCAAGCACTCCTGAGGAAGCCAGGGTCAAGGCTGTACAGTCCTTCGAGAAAAACCAAGACGTGGTTCAAAGCAAATAAGCTTTGCCTAAATGAAAGCAAAACGCAACACATGACCTGCAGTCTAGCTCGGAATCCCATCCCTGATAACCTGCCTGAAGTAAAATTATTAGGCTTCATAATCGACCCCAAACTCACCTGGGAAAAACATACCATGAAAGTGTGCACCAAGCTGTCGAGGACATTGCATCTCTTTAGGAAGCTCAAACCTATGCTGACAAAGCAATACCTACTGACTGTCTACTTTGCTTTGTTCCACAGCCATCTCAGCTATGGGTTGGAGGTTTGGGGCCATGCAGCTGGATGTAAGGATATACTTTTGTTACAAAAAGAAGGTAGTCAGACTTATTTCGTCCGCTGACTACCACGAACATTGCAGACCTCTTTTTAGTAAACTCAATATCCTTACAGTATACAGCCAGCACATTCTAATCACCCTAAACAACGTAAGGACCAACATCTCTGGTCTTGCATTGAGAGAAGACCAACATGATCACAATACAAGGTCAAAATCCAACCTTGATATCCCTTTCTGCAGACTAAACAAAAAAAGGACAGCTTTCCTATGTTGGCAATTAGGATGTACAACCGACTGCCACTGTACTTTAAAAACCTTGAGGCCTCAGTTTTCAAGAACTGAGGGAGTGGCCACTGGCAAGGCCCTTGTACTCCCTAGATGAGTTTTATAAAATTTGCGTCTAACCTGCCGCCAAACTTGTAAATATGTATATAAATATTATTATTATTTTTATTTTTGACTCAGTCTATCCAGCAAGAGCTGGTCAACGATGTCGAGGGAGTAAGTAAGTAAGCTTAGTGGTTAATGAAGAGAAAACACAACAACTGATCTTTGGCAGGAGAAATGGTGGGGTATGCAGGATCCCAGACATCGAAGGCCCAGAAGAAGCAAAGTATTTAGGGTAATAATAGACCAGAAACTGACATGGACCCCCCATATTGACAGCCCGTGCAGTAAGCTGAGTAGCAGTGTCTACGTGATAAGAAGGATAAAAACCATAAGTGATGACACCAACATAGCCAAGATTGCCTACCACTCACTGTTTGAATCACGTCTTCGATATGGCCTTGAAGTATGGGGAAACTCATCGGCAACCAACCTCCAACGTGTGTTTATCCACCAGAAAAAAGCAGTAAGAATATTAGGAGACATGGACAAGAGAGAAAGTCACAGACTGAAATTCCGTGAGCTAAAAATCCTAACGATTACAAGCCTGTACATCCTAGCTGTGGCTTCTCATACAAGCAGGCTACAGCTCCAACGAGGTATGGATAGGCACAGCCATAACACCCGACAGGCTATGAATTACACACTTCCAGTCCATCATCTAACTCTTTTTGAAGAAAAGCCTTCCTAAATGGGAGTGAAGTTCCTGAACCTGCTCCCAGAGACAATAAAAGGCCCCAGCATAAGCAGCACCAGACAACGCTTATTGGCTTGGCTTGTGGAGAGACTATTCTACACAGTTGAGGAGTTCATGAACTGGAGAACTTCACCGATGTTCCAGTGAGGACTAAACAACCCTCATAGTAATAACCATCACTACCGACAGCGCCTCAAAGCCCAACAACTTTATGCTATTTTATAATTAAATCTCTGTAATGTTTGACGCCTATTCTGTACTCTATTCTATGTTCAAGAATAAAGTATTCTGATTCTGATTCTTGTTTAGGCAAAAATAATAGCCCATAGGCCTATATTGGATTAGGAAATGAAACTATTCTAAACTAACCTAACATAACTAACCAAACTTGCTGTAGGCTAAGTTACCATTTCAAAATTCTGTTTGATAACAGAAAATGCATATGGGGAATAGGTTATCAAACGGAATGTTTAAATGTTACACTGAACAATATTTATGTACTGTATCCTTATCGTAGTGGTCAACTGATATGTTTCAATTTGTTATAATCAATATATCGGATAGAAAAACAAATATTGATATATCGAAAAGGGGTAGACTTCCATATCTGTTGGCACAAACAACCGAATGAAAATATCAATCGATATATCGAATGAAACAATCGAATAATCGATATTTTCATTCGGCTGTTTATGCCAACAGATATGGAGGTCTACCCTCGAAAAGAAAATCATCGATAATTTTTTAAATTTTATCCATATAATTATCCTGGATAATTTTTTTATCCAGGTAGACATTCTTTATTCTTGAGTAAATTTTATGACTGGTTCGTAAGAAACCCTTTTTTTCCGATTGTCGACTTCATGGCCGTAAAGGAAGTTCAGTTTTAGACTACGAAAACTGACTATATATAGAGTCTTTTAAACTCATCGAAAATTATGACTGTTATTACTGTAGTTTTAAAATAACTTATGTATAGTACCAGTACTTGACAATTGCTCGATTTCGAGCAACAGGTACACTAGTATAATTTTACATATTCTTCAAACTATAAACATGTACACCCCTAATCTTTATTCTTAGATTACTATAACTAACATAGGCCTAGCGGACCTGACCTAGCTAGGTCTACACCGATTAAGCCCATACCTACCTAGATGTTATAACTACGTGTTCCGTTACAAAGTTAAACTATGAATACATTTATTCTGCAAATATACTGTATGTATGACTTAGAGGTATTTGCAAATATTGGGTAGGCTATATTAAAAAAATTGTATTTGACTGGTTCTGTCCAAAAGTAGTGTTAGGTAAGTGTATATCTTCACCGTAGGGTAATAAGTTAACTTATATCTAACTTATTCAACGCAAATGTCATACTCTAACAATCGACATAGTTTGTTTTTTTTTCATTTCAGGAATTTTCTAATCTTAACTGCAGCAATGGCTCACAAAAGCTTTCAACCCATAGTGCTAGTTCATGGAGGTGCAGGGGACATTCCAGACTCCCGGGTGTCAGCTAAGCTAGATGGGGTGTGCAGAGCAGCCCGCAAGGGCTATGAAATTTTACAGAAAACTGGCTCTGTCTTGGATGGTATTGTTGCTGCTGTTGAACTGATGGAAGACGAGCCTGCGTTCAATGCAGGTATGTACAATTGAATTTTAAAATAATATGTTTTCACCACAGTACACAGTAAGCAGCTCTAGTTATTACCTTTTTGATGCATTATTGTTCTTGAGTGGTACAGTAGTTTTTTGTATATTATCCTATGCACATTTCGCCAGCTTGTTTGAAATCTGCAGGGTGTCTTCTTATGTTGTACCTACTCGGAAATAAAGTCAAGTTACCAGGCACTTAGGTACCAAAGACAAATTTTCAATGGTACTGTACCCATTGTTGTTATTGTGGTACAAAGTAGGCCCTACCTGTATGAGTTAGAATATTCCATGCTTTCAAAGTGGCAAAACGATCAAAATATCAGTAATGTTAGGCTATTTTTTGTCTAAATTACAAAAAGAAAAAACCTTTTGTTAATACTTTGTAAGAATTTTTGCTGGTATAAGTTAGTAGGTACGCAAAAAAGTATAGTATGCAACTTACCTGGGAAGGTGTTTACTGTATTCATATAAAATCCCGAGTTCGGCAAGCTTTGCACAAGAACCATGCTTGTATCGTTAACACCTACTTCCTTCTCTTAGAGCGTTTCTTAGTAAATAACATTTTCTCTCTTTCTAATAAGATCTATCGTCTTCTTAAAATCCTTAACTTGTAATTTAAGTTAACTTAACTTGTAATTTAAGTTAACTTAACTTGTTATGGTCACTATCATGTAATTTAAAATCACTATGTGTTTGGATTTGAAAAATGATAATTATATTTTTGCAAAGGTGGATTTAAATATTAAATGGATTTGTGTAAGCGAGAACACTATTTTTATCTATATACACTACACGTATTTTTATCTATATACACTATATGTACTAGCAGAGTACCCGTCCTTCGTACGGGGTTGGCGTAGTATAAAATGTTTATTGCAGTTACTGTATACTTGGCTTTGCGTTTGCAATGGGAGAGGACACGGTTTAAGAAAATTTGGTTCTTTTAATTTATGGTATGCTATAATATAGCACATCTCCTATAGCCATAATGTTCTACCACTGCACCTAAACAATAAAAAAAAGTAAATTTTTCATTGTATATCACAGCTTTTTATTGCTAATTGGTTCAAATTAGCTGTTGTCATAGAAGCAAAAAAAAAAATTAATAGTGCTGCACCCTGTTGGCAAACCTTATAACTTTTTAATGCTATTTAATATCATAGAACCAACTTGTGTAGTTGAAACACATCTTTAATTCCTTTTAAATATGAAGTACCTGGGGACCGAGCTTTCTCCTAGAACTTTATTAGTATATTAGTACTCGCCTTTGGCTCGCTGGGGGCTCCGCCCCCAGGCCCCCTTTTTTGGTAGGGGGTAAATAGAAATGGGCCATGGCGCAAGACCTGCAATTGAGCCAAATATCAGATCCTTAGCTATTTTAGAAGTGGGTAAAATTGATTTAGACCGATGGACCTGTAGGAATAACATTGGGGGGGGGATTCTATATTTCGTGAGGGAGGGAGTTATATTTGTAAAATGTCACTTTTCGGAAAGGGCGCAAGATCTACAATCATTCAAAATTTCAGATATCCAGTTAATCTAGAAATCTGTAAACGTGATTTAGACTTATGCACCTGTAAGAATAACATTGGGGGGATTTAATATTTGGGGGGGGGGGTTGTAAATACGATAGGGGGATAAAACCTTAAGTAAACCAGAGTAAATCTATGGCATGAACGGACCATGGGAACGGGGACTTATGGTGGTTTTTAAGGGGTAAATGTTTTCTCCTTAAGAATAACATGGGGCTCGTAAAAACTTTCAAATGTTGACATTAAACCTAAGTTTTGGGGGCTAAGGAGTAAAGTTACGAAAAAACACGTATCGTGTAAAATTTTAAACTAAAGTGAGGAGAATACAAAGCAATAATAATATTTGCAAAAAGGAATGATTAAAGTATGAGAAAATAGCGAAAACTGGTAAAAAGTTGAAACAAAATTTACCAGATTTTGAAAGTAGGGAGTTTTTTGAACCCGAAAGAGTGCGATTTTCGGAAAACAACTACGAGGGTTTTGTAGAAAATTTAATTTCTGTTCCTGGATATACTTTCAAATCTTTTCTAGCTCTTACTGTTTTCAAGCTAAATCCGTTTGAAAAAAACGTGTTTTATCGATTTCAGAGGTCCGCCATTTTGGATTTGTGGGGGGGTTAAAATTTGAAAATGGGACTTTTGAAAATTTCACCATTAGCTTATGATCCCTTACTACAATACTACCAAATTACAAGTCTCTAGCACATTTCTATACGATTCATATGACTATACCAAAGTCATTATATTTCAATCTTATTCTCCATAAGAATAACACGGGGCACGTAAAAGTGGCGAAAAACCTTCAAATTTAAAAAACATGTAATGAGTAAAATTTAAAGTAAAGTAAGGAGAATACAAAGCAATAATAGTTTTTGAAAAAAAAAATATTTAAGTATGAAAAAATGGCGAAAACCGGTAATAATTTAATAAAAATTTACCAAATTTTGAAAGTAGGGCGTTTTTTGAAGCTGAAGGAGTGCAATTTTTGGAAAACGCCTAAGGGGATTTTGTGTAAAATTTAATTGCTATTCCTGGATATACTTTCAAATCTTTTCTATCTCTTATTGTTTTCGAGCTATATCCCTTTGAAAAAAACGTGTTTTGTCGTTTTCAGAGGTCCGCCATTTTGGATTTTTGGGGGGGTTAAAATTGGAAAATGGGACTTTTGCGAAACTCACCGTTAATTTAAGATCCCATAGTACAATACTACGCAAATTTGAAGTCTCTAGCACGTTTCTAAACCGTTCAGATGGGCACACCAAAGTCGGCCATTTTTAATGTTATTCCCCATAAGAATAACATGGGGGGAAACCCTTAATTTCGGGGGGGTTAAAATTTAAAAATCTCACTTTTTGGAATTTTCCCGGGGGTTTGGGCACTAGACCTACAAAACACCGAAAATTTCAAGTCTCTAGCTCATCTAGAAGTGGTCTAGAATTTGTATCCCCCGTGAGTTACATATGCGGCTGTATAGTATTTAGACTCGCCTTTGGCTCGCTCCCCTAGCTGTTAGTCGTCATTCAGAAATTTAGGAAGGGGTGAGAGGCCATCACCAAGAAGCCGGGTAAATTTCAAGCCCGTAGCACACCTAGAAGTGGTCTAGAAAGCACTCTCCGCATCTCTAAATTCTTTGTGGGGTTGTAATAGCGAAAATCGATATCGAAGTAATAACCATTTCACAAAATATTCGAGTAGATTGATAAGTAGAGAATAGTAAAGTATTATATTAAGTAAATAGTTCATCGTAAATATTCATGTATATGTTAATGAAAATAGATGAAGTTATTTTTGTTTCCCTGTCAGTTCAGAATCCATTTCCCGTTCCAATCCGTTTCCCTGTCAGAATCCAATTCCAATCACGTACAATTCCAATCCGTTTCCCTGTCAGAATCCATTATAAAAAAATAATTTTAAAGTTGCGGTAAGAGAGTATGTTAGTAAAGTATATTTACAAATGAGTTTTTGGTCAAACTAAGTGATAATATAATTGGAATTGTAATAGCGAAAATCGATATTGAAGTAATAATTATTTCACAATATATATTAAGAGTAGATTGATAAGTTAAAAAGTTGATAATTGTAAAGTATTATATGAAGTAAATAGATTATAGTAAATATTCATGTATATATTTATGAAAATAGATCAAGTTATTTTTGTTTTCCTGTCAGCCACAAACTGTATGGCATATCCAGTTCCGGCACGGGGAGGCCAGGAAACACAAGAACCATATTAATTTTGAATCATTTATATTAACAGTAATAGTATTTCAAGTAAAAAGATGTTATTAAATATTTATAGATTTATTAATGAAAATTGATCAAGCAGTGTTTGTTTCCCTGTCGGTTAGCCATAAACTGTATGGCATATCCAGTTCCGCCACGAGGAGGCCAGGAAACGTCGGAACCATATTTACAATTGTTAAAAAATGCAGTAGACTTGTGTATAAGATAAGTAGATTGATAAGTGAATAAGTTGATAATAGTAAAGTATAATATGAAGTAAATAGATTATAGTAGATATCCATGTATATATTTATGAAAATAGATCAAGTAATGTTTGTTTCCCTGTCGGTTAGCCATAAACTTTATGGCATATCCAGCTCCGCCACGAGGAGGCCAGGAAACGTCGGAACCATATTTACAATTATTTACAAATGTACAAGTTAGTAAACTTTACTAACTACTTAAAGAAATATAGAGAACAACTTAACTAACTACTAAAAAGAAGAAAAAATATAAACAACAACGGGGACTTTTGATAAGGCAGGCCCCCTATCGTACTGCCAAACTAAAATACTAAAAACACACAAAAAACGACTTATTACTAAAGAAAAAACTAAAATGAAATATATACAACAACCTAAAGCTAAAGTCAAGTCAGGGTTAGAGGAGGAGATCGTCATACACGATATTTTTCGCGTATGCGATTCCCCCTTGGACACGGTCGGGACGGACAAGGACGACTATATGGTCTGGATGCCTGACTCTACTGAGCAGGACGTACAACTGACCATGAGTGAAACAGTCACTGCGAAGATCGACTCCTACGCGATCAATCGTCTGGCCCTGGCTTTTGTGGCCAGTCATGGAATATGCCAGCATGAGAGGAAACTGAAGACGGCGGACACGAAGCGGTGACCCCTCGACGAACGGGAAAACGAATTGAATCCGGGGGATACAAATCGGATCATGTTGTCCAGGGAGTCGCACTGTGATCAGACGAGGTCTTATTGCCGTCACGATCACTTTAGTGCCGTTTACGAGTCCGCTGTCAATGTTCAAGTTCCTCATGACGAGACACACGGAGCCAATCTTGAGTCGCAGGACATGGTCTGGTACACCCTTGCCAGTAGCTTGGTTCAACAAGTGAACGTCTACATCCATACCATCGTCGTTCTCCTTGTCCACAGAATCCGCACTCCTCAACTCATGAACGACGCCGTCCATCAGGTTGA